TCCCTTCCTCTCTTCCCCCTCCTCTTCCTCCTCCTCCTCCTCCTTCTTCTTCTCGATTGGCATCACCCACTCTTAATTTTACTTATTCATGGGGTAATGGAAATACATGTTTAGCATCAACTAATGCGAGTTTCCCTTCGGGTGGCATCGTAACGGTAAATATCATGCGTGTGCGTGCACACACACAAACACACGCACACACATGCATGCACACACACAAACACATGCACACACATGCATGCACATGCACACACACGCGTGCACACATGCCATCATTCACTGTCCCATCATGTGAGTGCCCTAGCTCTCGGATGGCTGTGTGGATGAGCACGTGACTGGCAGGTGTATGAGTGACAAAGGCCAATCACGCATCTCCTGGAGGAGAAAATCCACCAGGACGCGTTCCTTGAGTGAATGTCACACATGCCTTCAAAACCAACATGCACCACGCACCGTGGCTCCCGCCTGCCATCCCAGCCGCTCAGGAGGCTGAGATCTGAGGATCGCGGTTCAAAGCCAGCCCAGGCAGGAAAGTCCGTGAGACTCTGATCTTCCATGAACCACCAGAAAAGCAGAAGTGGCGCTGTGGCTCAAGTGGTAGAGCACCAGCCTTGAGCTGAAGAGCTGAGGGACAGCGCCCAGGCCCCGAGTTCAAGTCCCAGGACTGACACACACACGAAACCCACGAGCGAGCGAGAAGCACGTACCCTTCGTAGGAGGTGGTCATGCCCGCCACCGGGGGGTTGTCGCAGGCCATGAGGAAGGTGAGGAAGTAGAGCAGGTACTCCAGGACAGACAGCCAGCAGCCGACGTGCGCTGCCTGCCGCACCGTGATCTTGAACCTCTTCATGATCAAGCCGCCCGCCACGTAGCCGATGCAGATGGGGGGCAGGTTGTAAACACCTGCGGAACCACGCAGCCATGGCTCACCGGCCGCGAGCCACGCGCCCGTCTAACTGCCCCTTCCTAAGGCTAATTTGCAGTGACTTTTTATTTTAACACATAACATACAAGGAAACGTGGAATGTTCCATTCCATTGAAGCACTCCTTGGGGCTTGAACTCAGGACCTGGGCGCTGTCCCTCAGCTCTTCAGCTCAAGGCTGGCGCTCTACCCCTTGAGCCACAGCGCCACTTCTGGCTTTTTCTGCTTCTGGGGTGCTGAGGAATCGAACCCAGGGCCTCAGGCAGGCAAGGCGAGCGCTCTGCCACTGAGCCACCTGCCCAGCCCCTTGAAGTACTTCTTAAAGGCCTGATAGTTTTATCTCTTAAAAGGTTCATCATTGGCACGCATCTTATTCATCGTGATACAACGGGAATCTCGTGTAGCAGACACCACAACCAATATCCCGTCTCTTATGATCTGATAGAAATCGCAGAACAAAGGTGACCCTAATTTATGCACTTACTGCTCTACTGTGGGGAATGAGAATGTATATCATGTACACAGGATATACTACATATAGTTTAGAGCAGGTATATAGCATAGGATATTCTATATAGTGTATAGCATGTAGTATGTATATGATATGTTATATAGCATATAGTATGTGTATTACATACAGCATCTATACTTACATAGTATATGGTGAATATATAATATATAGTGCATATTATATGTACTACATATACCCTACTGAGTATTATGCTAGATGATATATGTAGAATAGAGTCTACTATATCTATAGTATAGAGAATAGATATAGTCTAGTATATACTATATATTCTATATAAAAACTATTATACACTACATACAATATATATGTAGACTATATACTATTTAGACAATATATGGCATCTATGCAGTATATAATATACTACACAGAGAATACATATAGTATATATATTCTTTATGGTATACTATATTCTTTAAGGTATCTGCTATGTAGTGTATAGTGTATAAAGTTAATATGATGTGTGTAGGATAGTATATATATTTGCACATATAATGTGTGTGGCTATGTACAATATATGATCTTTCTGTTATTTATTTCCAGAATATATGGAGAATAGAGAGAGTGAATAGAGCATGCATGGAGAATATAAAATATGGAGAAGATATACATGTACAGAATATGTATAGGAATGTATACATTCTTATTCCACAGAGTACATTTATACATATATATAGATAGATATGTATAAACCATTATATGTGCCAGGCACTGGTGGCTCCCGCCTGTCATCCCAGCTACCCAGGAGACCAAGATCTGAGGATCATGGTTCAAAGCCAGCCCGTGAGACTAATAAACTACTCAGAAAAAGCCTGAACTGGGGCTGGGCAGGTGGCTCAGTGGTAGAGTGCTCGCCTTGCACGCCTGAGGCCCTGGGTTCGATTCCTCAGCTCCCCATAAGCAGAAAAAGTCAGAAGTGGCGCTGTGACTCAAGTGGTAGAGCGCCAGCCTTGAGCTGAAGAGCTGAGGGACAGCGCCCAGGCCCAGAGTTCAGGCCCCATGACCGGACCCAAAAAAAAAAGCCTGAACTAGAGCTGTGGCTCAGGTGGTAGAGCTCCAGGCTTGAGCACAAAGAGGCTCAGGGACAGCGCCCAGGCCCTGAACTCAAGTCCCACAACCAACCAAAAGAAAGATGAAAGAAAGAAAGGAATTTCTAGTGCTGCCTTTTCTTACACTGTCTTGATTTTTCTGAAGACTGAAAAGAGGATATTTAGATGCAGAAATACCCTAGACTATCTTGAAGGACTTCTGGGGTGAACGTGTTAGCTGCTGGCCCTTTTGGGGGGGGGCGTGAGGGCCGGGGCCAGGCCGCCTACCGATGAGGAAGATGGCCTCAGCCGTGGACTTGCCGTACTGCTGTTCCAGGTACTTGGGCATGAAGGAGAACATGTTGACGAAGGCGTTGAACTGCAGCACGCTGACCAGCGTGAAGAGCACGTAAACGGGGTTGCACGAGAGACTCTTCATGAACGGCAGGAAGTCTGCAAGGAGGGGCGAGAGAAACAGTCAGGTCCCACCCAGTCGGTGAGCAACGTCACTACAGGATCAGCCAGGTACCAGGATCCGAGGACCGCGGGCCAACACCGGCCCAGGGCGGGAAAGCCGGGGGAAATCTGATCTCCAATGAACCTCAGAAAAAGCTGGCAAGAGGGTGTGGCTCACGTGGTAGAGCGCCAGCCTTGAGCAAAAGAAGCTCTGGGACAGCGCCCAGGCCCTGAGATCAAGACCAAGGACTCCAGCAATATGGATGGATGGATGGATAGATAGATAGATAGATAGATAGATAGATAGATAGATAGATAGACAGACAGACAGACAGACAGACAGATAGATAGATAGATGGATCAATGAATTGATGGATCAATAGATGACAGATATATGGATAGATAGATGATAGATGATGGATAGACAGATGGATGGATAGATGGTAGGTAAATAGATGATAGATAGATAGATAGATAGATAGATAGATAGATAGATAGATAGATAGATAGATAGATAGATAGGTAATAGATGGATAGAGATTGATAGATGATAGATAGACAGACAGACAGACAGACAGACAGACAGACAGACAGACAGACAGATAGATAGATAGATAGATGGTGGGTAGAGGTAGAGATGGATGGAAGGATAGATAGATGGATAGATGATAGAAAGAAAGAGATAGAGAGAGAGATACATACATACATACATAAATGAATGGCTAGATAGATAGATCAATGAATCAATGGATCAATAGATGACAGATAAATGGATAGATAGATAGATGGATAGATGGATGGATGGATGGATGGATGGATGGATAGATGGTAGATAGATAATAAATAAATAAATAGATGATAGAGATAGAAGGAGAGAGATTGATAGATGATAGATAGATGATAGATAGATAGATAGATAGATAGATAGATAGATAGATAGATAGATAGATAGATAGATAGATAGACAGATTCGTTTGTGTAGAGCAGGTATTTTGGAAGTCACGCGTGACAGATGCGTGTCGATTACTGAGTACCCCGACAGATAGAACCTTCCAGGCCAGCAGATGGAAGACAGAATTCAGCTGGGAAATGGCGTCATCGGCGTGAAGTGAGGGACAGGGGAGACGGCGGACAGGTTGGACCAGAGACTGGGCGAGCGCTGATCTTCACCCAGCCCAGCCGGTGGGGTAGGACTGGAACCCGGCTCCCCCTCACTAGCTGGGGGGGGGGTAGGATTGGAACCCAGCTCCCTCTCACTGGCTGGGGGGATTTGCCTTTCGTGATGCCCCCGCTGGCCTCGGCCACGGCTCCTCTCTCCTTCTCCTTGTCATTGGTCACCGAGCCGGCCTCCTCGTCCAGGCCTTCCTTCGGGAGGGTTTTGGGCAGGAAGAAGAAGGGAATGGCCGTCAGGATGTTCACCGCGGCGCAGATGAGAAAGCCAAACCACCAGGCGCCCACCCAGCGCGTGTCCGTGGGGCCGATGGTCAGCTCGTCTGTAAGGAAACACACACACTCTTATATATTCACGTCTGCCGGGGTGTGCTCAGTCCTCACGGGGAAACACAAAACAAGCCTGCTCAAATGATCGCGGTTGGGTTTTACCTGAGGGTTAAAAACCACCAAGATAGCTGTATCTCCCTCTACATACAAAGTAGATATAATCAGAGCGTTGAAAACATAGCCAAGACCCAGCACCAGTAGCGCACGCCTGTCATCCCGGCTACTCAGGAGGCCGAGAGCTGAGGATCGGGGTTGGAGGCCAGCCCGGGCAGGAAAGTCCGTGAGACTCTGATCTCCAAGGAACCACCAAAGAATAAAAGCCAAAAGCAGAGCTGTGGCTCATGTGGTAGAGCCCCTCGCTTCAGGAACACACACACACACACACACACACACACACACACACACACTTCAGGGACAGTGACCAATTCCAGAGTTCAAGCCCCAGGACCCACACAAAAACAAAAACAAAAACGGATCTTGGCTCTCAAGTTGAAGGTAGATTCTATAGCAGAACGCCAATTCTGCGTTCACCCAGCGCATACAGCGCATCTTTACATGTTTAG